GCAGCTGGCATTGCCGTGATGCTGGTTGCGTTCGCAACAATGGTTCACAACGGATCAACTGGATTGCTGGGTGTGGCTCTTTTTAACGTTATTAGTTTTAGCGGCGTTCTCCAAAGTTTTGTCACACAATGGACACAGTTGGAGACGGGCCTTGGTGCGATTGGCCGCATAAAAGCCTTCGTTCAGGATACCAAGCCGGAGAATTCGGATGGGGAGGTGGACGACTTGCCAGACAATTGGCCGTCAGCCGGCTCTATGGTCTTTGACAATGTTTCAGCCTCGTACGAGGCATCCTCTAAGCCTGCTATAGATGGATTCAACCTAACAATTAAGCCGGGAGAAAAGATTGCCCTGTGCGGACGAACTGGAAGGTGAGCTTCCTCTGCGCAGTTCATGCCACAACTTGAATACTAACTGAAAGATTTCTCTAGTGGCAAATCATCGCTTCTCTTAACGATTCTTCGCATGCTTGAGCTGGATGCAGGCAGCATCATGATTGATGGGCACGATACCAGCAAGATATCGCGCGAAGAATTACGACGGCGCCTGAACACATTGCCCCAGGAACCGTTTTTCCTACACGGAAGTGTGCGAGAGAACGTTGACCCGCTGCACATATCTACTGATGAGCGCATCATTGAAACTCTGCGTGCTGTTCAACTTTGGGATATGCTAGAGAGTCGCGGCGGGCTGGACGCGCCAGTGAGCGAGGACTCTCTGTCCCATGGTCAGCGGCAGCTATTCTGTCTCGCGCGTGCGATTGCGCGCCCAGGCAACATTGTCATTATCGACGAGGCAACAAGCAGGTATGAATCGAATGATGTAGTCAATAGCTTGCTATCTACAGAATACGGAATTGCTAACAATGTGGCAGTGTTGATTCGGAAACAGACGAACTCATGCAGCGGGTACTGCGGCAGGAGCTTGACGGGCGTACCCTGATAGCCGTTGCCCACAAGCTACACACCGTGACGGACTTTGATCGGATCGTACTGGTTAACAAGGGAAAGGTGGTTGAATCTGGAAACCCACAGGAGCTTCTGGCGAACCCAACGTCGGCATTCTACAAGCTATACACGAGTGGAGGCAGCGCTGCCGAGTAAACAAAATGCGCGTTCTTTTCTGTTCCCCTTTCTCTTTGAAGTTTAGAGCCAATGCAAGAACACATGATATACTATGCTCTAGCCAGTCTCATTACTAGGATACACGAATGGGTGAGCGGTTATACAATAATGCTAGCGGCGGGGGAGGGTATCGTCGACCCGCTTCGCCATTGCGACCAGACTTCAGATGATCGATGATTACGGGGCCTATCCCGCCCTTAGCTTGAATTGATGCTTGTTATCCCTGTAGCCAAACCCCTCCCCTGCAACGAAGATCAAGTGCCAAGCTCTGACTTGGGGTGAATGCCCAGGCTTGTCTAGCGACCCGGTATACCGTCGGCCATGAATCTGTCCAGGAATCCTTGTGTGCTACGCTGACCATCCATGGCTCTGGTCCTCCACCCGCCTGCCGTGTACATGGGCACGGCTCACCACAACAAGCTCATCGCATTGTTTTCTGCTCCGTAAGATGTTCTAATACTCCCACCCGAAAGCCTAGTATGTCCGCAGTCTAAAAAGGAAGAAATGATCCACATGGCAGAATCTTAAACCATCCATGTGGAGCAAGACTATGTAAATCCAACCTCGCAAAATTGATACTAGAGGCTTTGCACACCAGACGACTTATCACTCCTCGCAGAAACACCCCAGAAACGGAATGACTATAAATAGCAGACATAATATTGAATTCAACAGCAAGAGCATTATGAAAGGGTCCAATGTCTTACTTCATTCACCACTTTGCGAGGTATAACCCGACATTTAAGATTCCTCATCATCAAACCCCCAAGTAGGAAGTCTTGTACTCCTGTACAGGCTCCAAATCCGACGAGCTGGCAGCTAGCTACGCACTAGAATACAAAGAGAGACAATTGGCCCGTTGCACGGAACAAGGCGTGATAATATATGTGCAATATGGGCAGGGCTGACGCAGGATCTAGCACTAACCCGTCATGTTACCATGACTCTCGCCGCTACATACTGTCTCAGTCACACTCCCACCCACACAACTTCTTGTCTCCCGCCCCGGACGGTAAACCACCACGACATGTGACGCGAGGCGGCTGCGGGACTCAGTGCAGCGGAAAGACACGTTTCAAGCCGTCAAACGACATGAAGATGAATGCCGAGCTAGGCGCGGACCGGAGACATGTGATGCCACAGCCGCGATACAAGCCGCGCAGCCCGTAGCCCCGCCAAAGAGCCAGGCCCTCGCGCCAAAAGGTAAGTTGACGCTCCTCCACCACGCGCAGCCCGCCCCCGGCCCGCGTCTGCACCCGGGACTTGATAGTGTCGGCCGGGAAGAACAAGAGGTTGTACGAGACGCCGGCCGAGGCGCCAGCCACAGCCTGCTGCCACAGCGGCAGCGGCCTGCGCAGAATATCCTCCCTCTGCGAGGGCGACGCGGCAGACTGTTGTGCCCGGGCGTAGAACGCGGCCGTCACGGCCTCCTTGGCGCCGAACCAAGCCGCGCCGCCGCCCGTCTCCCTGATCAGCGTGCCCACCTGGCCGCGCCAGAAGCCGAGCAGGCCCCCGTGGCGGAACACGTCCCGGATGACGCCGAGGGGCCCCGCGGCGGCGTCGGCCGGCGCCTGGATCCGGCACTTGACCAGCTCGACGGGGTTGAGGACGAAGGAGGCGAGGGCGCCCGCGAAGGCGCCCGTGGCCAGGAGCGCGGGCAGCGGCAGCCGCTCGCCTCGGGACGCCAGCCCGCACGCGTACAGCACCTCGCGGCCTGCGCTTTCCAGGGCGAACAGGCTGCTGGTCTCGAGGGCGGCGCCGACCAGCGGCACGCTGATGCCGTGGTACAGGCCTAGCGCGCCGTGGGACTTGAGGAACTGGCGGAAGCAGTCGAACGGGCCTGCGTAGCGGAGGGGCAGCTGGTCCGGCTGGCTCTGGAGGCGCACCTTGACTGTGTCGAAGGGGTACTCGATGTATTTGCCCAGCATGCCGGCGAACTGGGCCGTGTGAATTTGCTGCCTGGCGCCAAGGGCCGCGGTTGAGGGGGGAGACTTACCGTTCCGTAGAGGACATCTTCTACGGGTTCCATCGGCGGGCGTCTTGGACGAGCGCTGGGGTGAGGACCCGGACGGTGGGTGCTTTTTGCTATGAAGCGGATTGGAACGTCGCCAGGAATGTTTTTCCCATTTTGACTTGAAACCCTGCGCCCCTCATGAGGAGGGGATAGAAAAATACGGTGGAATCCGGTGCCGTGAGGCGAGCGCGGCGGTCAAGGTTTGTTGTTGATGACGCTGTCGGAGGATGATGGGAGAGGCAGAGTGTCTCGACTCTCGTCTCGCGCATCATGCTGCCAAGGGGCGGTCAATGGTTCGGTCAGCAAGCTGCGGGGGACGACAGAATAGGATAACAGGGAAAGGGGCTTTTCTGGCGCTACCATGCTGCTCCGACAGTCGTCATCTTCTCACGGCATCACGACATGGCGGCGTCGCGGCACAAAAGGTCGCGACCGATACGGCAAAAGGGGCCAGTCTCGGGCTGGTTCCGATTCAGGACAAGATGGTAGTGGCGCGAAAAAGAAGGGGGGAAAAGTGACGTGCCCATGACAGATGTGTTGCAGGAACGCCCCGAGGTGTTTGGGTCGGAGTTGACGTTTCCCGCGAACCCCCACGCGGCCCCGTGGCTTCGGGACATGGCGATCAATTGATCTCTGGGCGGCAGCGGGGCCACTGCCGTCTGGGTGCTACGCCAGCCGCCAACCTGCACATCCCAATCCAACTTGATATTGAACTGATTGCATATGCGGATCTCTGGGGCGTATCCTCTGTATGTGCATATGCAACTACATGCCTAGATCCCCGGTGTGGCCGTCGTGCAGAAAGGCAGCTGTGCCCGAGCGCCAAGAGACTAGTAGTTGACAGCTGCCGAGCCGCCAGGGGTTGCATGTCATTGCACAGCATTGTTTGTGACAGGCTTGGCGTCATTGGTCACATGCAACGCCAGCTAGTGAGCGCCGCTTGACGGGTTTGTGCATCCATGTCAGTCTTCACCTGTTGGGAACCGACTGACCATGCCGGAAAAGGGAAGCAGGTTTTAGTTTTATTTCAACCGTCGACGTTTCTTTTTGTCCCTCTCATCACCATGAGGCGGGCCAGCATTGGACATTCACACTTTTCACACCATTGACGAGAGCCCTCAATTGGCGCCAATTGGTTTCAAAAGAGGGAAAAAAGATCTGCTCCGCCAGTCAATCGGCAACGGTGGGTCCATGCTTGCCTTTGTTCCGCATGTCCCTCTTTCCATGGCAGGGATCGACCGCAACGACACATCACAACATGTCTTGTGTTTGCGTATACGGAGTACGTAACTGAGACTTGCACGTCTGTCTGGTCTCGTTTGCTGCGGCCGGAGACAAACCAGGCAAAATATTGCGACCAACTGTTCGCCACGGGGTTTTCTGGCTGCGCAAACCGGACACTGGCGGCTCATTTCTGTTGACAACGCCTTCCTCTGTTGCGATTCCGATGGAGTAGGCGAGACATGAGGGATATTATTTTACCCCAGGTGCCGTATTTTTTTTCTTGGGCCGTTTAATGGATCCCGCTAAGACTTGCCTGGTTGCAAAAGAAGAACGGGGAAAAAAGCATGCCCTTGGACCCGCCTCCAGCGATGAAGTATCAAATAAACTCATACCAGACTCAATGCTATTTCGGGAAATACCTGCATACATGGCAGATTGTTACGCCGCATCAATAGCCGATCCAGTCACCCCCGCTGGCCTGTGAGAGCCGTCACCCAGACCATGTGCTACATTGGGCTCACCGCGTCGCAGCAGCACACTTGACATTGTGCAACAAAACTTCTGGGCACACTGTGATTCTTTGACTATCAACACAGTTTCATAGCCGGCTACTGCTACTCTGTCCCACCCGGATCCTCCTACCCGCGCACCAAGTCCACCGTTGCGCAGTGAAACGAGCCTCCGAGACAATTGACGTGCTGAAACGGCAGCATGATGGGCTCCATGCCAAACTCGTCGCGGAGCCAGTCGGCAAACTCGACGTCGTGCTCCTCGACAAAGATCTGCCTCTCGTTGAGGCTCAGCGCGTTGAGCACCAGCCACGGCGAGCACATGTACATGGGCGGGCTCGGGGGCGCGCGCGGCTTGGGCTTGATCGGGCACGGCCGGAGGTCCCAGCCGGCAAAGACGGCGTGCCGGCGCAGCTCGGCCTCGGACACGCGCTCCGGGTTGTACACGGCCAGGCCGCGGCGCAGCGGCAGGATCGTCGTGTCAATGTGCATGGCGTGGTCGTCGGTCGTGCGCAGCACCTCGACCGAGTAGCCGTCGGGCACCTGCGCGCGGAGGTACTCGACGCCCTTCATGTTGGTGACGTGGCTCAGCTGCCCGACGAGCGTCTTGCCCAGCCGCATGAAGTCGGCCACGTCGGCCGCCGGCCGCGTGTTGTTGATGGTCCAGCTGGGGCTGCCGTTGGGCGCGCGCGTGCCGTCCACCACGGCCTGGTCGTAGATGGTGTCCTTGCCGATGATGGTCGGCGCCCGGCAGATGCGTGCCGCGCCGCCGCCGCCCGACGACAGCTCGCGCAGGATGCTCGAGTAGCCGAGCTCGACCTCGCGCCGGCGGCAGGCCCACGCAAAGGGGGACTCGATGAGCGTGTTGCCCACCGTCATCAGCGTGTCGCGCGGCATCGACCCCGTGTAGCCCCCGACCTTGAGCCAGTCCACCTCGTCCGGGCGGTAGACCTTGACGCCGTGCTGCTGCAGCACCGCCGCCAGGTTGTCCAGCTCCTCCTGCGCCTTGGCCACAATGTCGGCGGGGAACGGGTTTCCCGGCCGGAACTCGTCGACGTGCTCGGCTGGCATGCTCGCCTCGAACACGGCCCGTGGCTCAGACGGGAAGGCCGAGTGCTCTGCCCGGCCGACAATGACGGCCTTGAGCGGGGACCACTCGTTGTCTGCTGAGATGAGCGTAGACATGGCTGGCTGCGGTGAGAGCTAGTAATGGGTAAAGGGGTAGTAAGGAAGGTCGTCTTTGGCATGGGAGTAAATTGTATGCCCGTGTTGACAAGAAGTGGCTCAAGTATTAAGTGTTGGGCGAGTTTGCCCACTCCCTCATTACCGCCATACCGCGCAGCATCATTTCAGTCATATTCGATCATTCGTACAAGACATACTCCGCATGTGTTGATCTCCGCTGAGACTACGGAGTATTTCTCAGGTGTGTGCCACCAGACAGGTTGGCGTGCAATAACAGGAGGCGTGTTGTATGTACGGGTGGCGTCTGCGATCTGCCATAAAACAAGATTGATAATTTTCAGCCTCCCCTCTTCATCGCCGTCGTGTCGATCTGGCGGCGATGTCTCGGCGTGCACTGACTCCCCTGGCTGTAGACGGCACGGGACAGGGCACGCAATCCTCACAACGACATACCACGGCTTACTGAAGACGCGGACGATCATATCATCCATGCATATAGTACCCAAGTACAGTCAGCGTTTCATTGCCTGCGTAGGTACGGAGTGCATGCGCCTAACGTCTGTAAACTGTCATTTTTGCTTTTGTGTGCTGCGTCACTTCCGAAATCAACGACGCCGCAAAGCCCACAGGATCCGCGCCTGGCGGGAAAATCGTCTGGCTGGTCGGACTGCCATGTGAGATTCAGTGAATGGGTTAATTAGGCAGACGCCCGAGCCGTGGGTTAATACCAGGGGGCTCCGGTCTGCATCGCCGAATCAGCACCACAAGAGTCTGGTGCAATCTGGCCATAGGGTAGGTCACGCTGTAATTTATTTCCAACGGCGATGTTATCAATTGTTGTATGGGGTGTGAATAGACCAGCCAGCTTAGTTTCGTGACTTTTCTTTGAGTTGTTGATTTTGTCCGTGCTGATATTCGCTCCTTGAGTCGAACATGACTCCGTGGTTGTCCGATACTGCTTGCCAAAGCGTTATAATTGGAGTTGGCCGTGACCAACGCTCGCTGGCCGCGCATAGATCCTTGCAATGCGACGAGACAAAATTTCTCCAAGGATCATCTTGCACCCATTGCACGTAGAAAGCCAATGATCTTCATGGAAGAGTTTCCCAGCCATCACCGTTTCACTTCATACGGGCAGTCGATAAGAGATTATAAAAGTCTAAAATGGTTGTCGGAAGCAAGCAAACTGAACAACGAGATTGCGAGGTCCGAGTGCTCTCCTCGTAAGAAAGATTCGTTGGCTTGATTCACATTTCTCAACAGTCAAGTGCGTACGCGGCGGCAACTGCAATCACATGGAACGATACATAGTGTCAGAGAGCATGCAAAATGTTTTTTTGGGACTAGCTAGAAGCCGAAGCCGCTTGAAGTATCTAAACACAAGGTGGCCACAAAGAACTTCCAGTTTTGGGATACCCAACGAATGTATATCTGCGATACACAAACGGATTGTACCCTACAGAGAAAATATGGATGAGGAGCTGATAGAACTATATCGACAAATGGTGGGTTGCTACGTCAGTCGGTGAAAATACAAGTTCGGTCCGTTGTCAACGGCATATCTGGAAACTGGACAGTTGTTAGCAACCACTCTGAACATGGTACATGTCTCGCGAGATGAAATAGTGGAAGATACACAAAATCAGGAAATAGTTGAGTAATGTTCGTAATCAGGCCACTCTGACGAGTGTCATAAGCCGCGGTAATTTCACAAGGGAAAATTCATCATAATGGTCACAGAAAATAGCAAAAACAGGAGAATGGCAACAACTTACTCGGCCTGGGTAGAGGAGGACTCTTCTGATCTGGGCCAAAGCGCCATCGGGGATGCGATGCAGCGCCGTAGCGGTGTTGGCTGAGAGGAAGAAAAATGTTGAGGGACGGAAAGGAAATATTTTGCGGTACAATTTTCTTTTCAATGACCAGATCACGTGAGATCTCTCGCACGAGCCACGCAGATGACTAAGAGATCACGCCGATCCAAAGTGGAGAATGTATGGGGTACCGAGCCGGGACCCTGGCGAGATGCGTGGCTGTGGCTGTGCTATTCCGTTGCCAACGACTCCAAACGCCATGGAGCAAGGGAAAAGCAGCTATGGTGATCATGATAGGAGATCAACTGAGTCCTCCATACAGTCTACTACGTATTGTGCTATGGATTATGAAAAAAAAACGGAGCGAGTAATTGCTCCGCCCTGGCTGCGTGTCAGGCCTCAACTTGACGTCTCTTCCTTAAGGCATCTCCCAGGTCACTGAGCATTACATCAGGTCTTTGAGGCGCGGTGCAGGCTGCAACATGAAAGAATCACGGTATTGGCTCTTCAGAGAATGTACGAGTGGGAGATTGAAACGCTGCTAAACTACGGAGTAGCCTGGTTGCAAATAGTTTGATGTAGCTCCAGGGGCCACAGAACAAGCACCGGCTGGTTGCTTGGGATGGTGCCAATCTCCTTAGCAAGCCCATTGTTTCTGCGACTCACGCGACGGGAAGAAGGGGATTCGCTCAGAAGTATGCCACATCGGCAAGAGCCGCCTCTGCACCGAGTACGGAATATACAGAGTGCATATGTAGCCAATGCAGAAGTGCTGATACCCGACGTTACATGACAATGACATTGTCAGGTAGAAGCGTGGCGGTTCAAGCAACGAATCCATTCGCTGACCTTGCAGGGTCTGAGGGACGTGGTAATAGGACATAAAGCACGTCTCAGTCTTCGAGGAATAGGCACTTCAAATTAGTAATTTGCGGAAATAGCCCCTTGCCCTCACAGGCCATGCTGTCGCGCGACATGCCGAGTCACAAATGTCCCAGCACAGGCTCGCTGATTTCATTGTCCAACCTATTTCTTCATATTATCAGGTCACATTGAGCACGTGTTTTTCGACCCAATACCCGAATCACCCCGGGGAGTTGGCATTTTGTATTAAAGAAATTTATGATCAAAAGTAAGATATTAGTAGAGTCCTGGACTTTGCCGGAACTACAGCGAACTGGATTCCCCTTTCCTGAGTCCTGACCAATAATGCTTTCCTGAAGACGTAAGTGAATTATGTTTGTTGGAACTGACTAGTTGCCCATCATGGTGTTGTCTCCCAAGCGCTTGCAGCCAACTCCGTGAACGCGGCGCAAGTCATTTATTGCGAGTTTAGGCAGACGATTCCCACTATCGAGCCTCCATGACCTGGCTCGTCATGCCGATGAGCGAATTTTCTTTGTCGAGAACAACACCAAAGTGTTTCAAGGTGGTGTACCCGAGGATAAAACTGACATTGTCCTCATCAGCTTGGTTTCCCGAAAACGAAGACTTCCGAAACTGAAGGTTTGGTCTTTGCGAGAGGTTTTCAAAGGAAGTGCCAATGTTGCTAATGGCAAGGTAGCATTTATTCTTGTCGCCCCCAATAGCAGTGTTGTTGTCGGCGGGCCACCTGTATATGTCGACGGGGATGGTGATGTTGACGCCTGCCAGTGTCAAAATCATAGGATCCAATGCAGAGCACGACGAAAGAACCGGGAGGCCTGTATTATCGTCTACAGTTGCTCCTGTTAGATTCAGCAGGTGGTTGAAGCTGCTGGTAGACAGCAACGTTGCCGTAGAGCCATGGTCAATGATGCCGGCTTTAGCTGACAACAAGCTGCTGTCGCCGTAGGCAACGCTGGCATCAAATCCCCAAAATGTCTTGGCCACTGCGACTTCTGTAATAGGGGCGTACGTGACGTTTGTCAGAGACGTTGAGCCAAAGGTGATGGCTTGCTTGACAATGGTGACAGTTGCGCTTTCAACATGTCCCTGTGAGAATAAATTATCTGGAACGGTGGGAATCGTCTGGCTCTTATCCGGAGTCAGAGTCCCCAGGGTGAGGTCGGTGGGACCTAAACCAAGAAGCCCGTCAACTTCAGTGACTCCAGTAGTTGTATTTGCCACTCCGATACTCTGATTAAAGTCGGCTCCGCTTATAGTCAAGATGTCGTTGTACTCGAGCCCGGAAAAGCTGCCGGAACCATAGGTTACGGCCACAGAATCAGACGTCTCCTGGCTGGATGAGGTGATGACATATGCCTTCTGAGCACCAATCCATGTATTGGATGAACCCGGGTCAAACAGCAGCGTGTACTGAGTATCAGGCAATCCAATGTCAATGTTCACTGCGCCATGTGTAAACATGTCCGTGATGGGTAGATTGAGCGACGCAAGAGTATCTGAAAAAGTTTAGCCTTTCTGATTCACTACAGGGTGTTACTTAACAAACCTGGAAGTTTGGCCAAGATAGCCATGCCCACGGCAGTCAGACTATTTCTGCCGTGCTTCTTCATTGTGAAAATGAACAATGCAATACGATCCGTGCGCCTAGTCCCTGCATCAAGAAAACTTTACAGAATGGGCTGGAGTCAACACCGTGCGATATATAAGGTGAGACGAATCAACATGCGGACATAGGCCACCGGGGGTAATAATGTGAATAAAGAATCGTCAGAACCAGCGATATATTGTGATGGGCTCGCCGTTTACAGCAGGCAGAAATGTCTTGGGCTAAAATTGGCAGGAAACCATTGTGTACACTCGGATTTCACACCCTGTCTTGGAGCAATCGGGGCCATCTTTGTGATGAGACAAGTTTAATTCGCTTGCTGAATCAGCCCTGCTAGTTTAAAGGATGGGTATAAAGAACCAACCTTGGTCGTGTTTTCATTTCTTATGTCTGGAATTAATCTTGGTGAACACGCCATGCCGTCGTTCTGGCAGGTTATTGGTAGTCACTCCACAAGCTCGCCAGCATCTGGTGAGATTTGGAGACGGTGGCGGGTTGAACTGCGTCGGATGAAGAAACACAGCCAGCCACAGGTTAAGGCGAGGGCTACCTCACCAAAGGAAGATTTCCACCAGGGTCCAATGCCGACCGAAATGTGGCCATGTCTCAAGTCGGTGATGAATGTACAGTCTGGCATAATATTACCCATCGAAAAGTATGCACTACGTAATATCACTCAAGTTGATGAATACAATAAAGAAAAATGAGCCAGATAGTCATGTAAGACATCTAGTCACTCTATGTTTTAGCCGTAGCGTGGCCTAACCACGCGGCATACACTTAGATATTGTAATATATTAAAGTGTATAACGAGATGGCCGGGGATCTGATCTGCACGTGGTCATTTCAACGCTTCTTACTTCCGACTGTTACATCGCCAACGAGCTCGAAATACGGCCAACGGGCAAATTAGGGACCACCCCCTTCAAAAGCAAACTAGTTGCTGAAAACATTGTACGCAGCCTGACATGACACCTAGGCAGAAATTCAGTCATGGGCCATGGAAGAGAAGATTTGATGCACAGTCAACATCTCCGGTTTGCGTCGCCGCGATGTACTTGAGAATTTAAGATACTTGAATGAGTGCCTAATGAGTGGACTACAAGTGCTACGCCCAGGTGTTCCTGAATTAACATCTAGGATGCCATATGTAAACTTGCTATACATCATGTGGATGGAATTCTCTGTATTAGCCATGTGGTCAATATGCACCAACTGCCTTTAATTACCACGAAACTGAAGCCAGGAAACAAAAAGGCACCTCAGGCTGTAGTGTTTATGCACATTTTAATCCACCAATAGTTATTGAAACTGGGAGCACTTGAATGTCGCTAGACAGTATCAGTTGACCACAAACCCCAGAATTTACAACCTACGGTAAGATACATCTGTCTGCAGAAATATATATACGAATATACCAAGGCCTAATAAAGAGTAGTTGGTCGTGGTCAGGTACTACGGACTGCCCGGCATAAAGTCCGCATAGTGCTCCAGATTAACCTGAATATCTTTGCAATTAGACCCCTAGCATTCAGTTACTTCGCACGCTATTATGATTATATTTCCAGCCGAAAAGGAGTGTTTGTTCCTCGTCAAGAACCCTCAGCTCACCAGCACCAATCTCGTAATACAAGTCCCCCAGCAAGGAAACAAAAGCCGCCCCGTCATGTTTCAATCTCTGTAATTCATTCTGCCAGCATCAACCCACGACACTCACTTCCTCAGAACACGCCTTCTGGCAATGGCCCCGACACGAGCGCCCCCGGAGCCAGACGCTTCAACGGGATATTTATCAAGCGGGATAGGATTGTCCGCGTACGCGCGAAGCCTGCCGGCCACCCACTCCCCCGCATTGCCAACAGTCGAGATAATGCCAGTCGTCGAGCCTCCTCCCAGCAGGACCGCGAATATACCACGCACCGGAAAGTCCTGGTACGCCGGCTGTGTCAGATCGAACGGCTCGCCGCGCTGCCAGACCTCCCTGGCAGTCTTGGCCTTGATGAGCGTCGCATTGAGCTCCAGGTCCAGCACCGTCGGGTTGATGTTGCCAATGTCGGAACCGACGTCGGCATCGCCCAGCAGGTAGCTGCCTCCGGTGCCCCAGTGCTGCGAATCAAAGTCGCTCGCGACGGCGTCCATGACGAGCGGCGCGTGGCTCGTCGGAATCTGCCACGGCGCCACGGGCACCTGCAGCTCGAGGCCGAGATACCTGACAAAGTCGTAGTAGCGACGCCATTCGTACGGGCCGTAGAAGTACCCGGGGACGTAGGCACGCACAGTCCAGTCGTCGGCTTCGTACCGGTCCACGGCGAGGAAGTCGGGCGTGTAGTCGCCGCTGGCGTAGGTGCCGAGTTTCTTGATGTAGTCGGCCGTCTGCTTGGCCTGGTCGAGCGGTTGCTGATCACCGGGCCCCGAGTCGTAGATCCAAGTGGAAGTGCCGCCGCCCCAGATATTGACTTGCCAGCCAAACGTGGCGGCGGGTGCGACGGTGCGGACGAGCCAGTTCACGGCTAGAGTATAGCCGGCAAACGTGTCGTTGATGGAATCGGGAATGGTTGCCTTGACGCTCCAGTGGTCAAGTGCGCCTTGTAATGGTTCTCTGACGGGCATGGCGTAGTCGACCAGATTCTCCTTCTGGCCCTCTCCGAGGAAGTCGGCGTTGACAATGAAGCCCGCGGGCACGGGATGGTCCTGATCGATGAAGGTGTTGCATATATTGAGTGACAGAATCAGATTGGCGAAGCTGTGCGTGAGGCCAGTCGTGTCCTGCAGCTTCGTGTAAATGTCGCCCAGGGAAAGGTTGACCGTGTAGGAAATCATGATGGGCAGCACGGAGCTCCCGTCTCCGAGTTTAGCCTCGATGTCGCGCGCGAGTTGAATAGTGCGCGTGGTGGCAGGATCGTCTGTCAAGAAGCTACCGCTGTCGCCGGCACCGTCGTTGCCGGCATACTTGAAGACGGACGAGGCGCGTGCCGCGACAAAGTCATCTGCGTTGGTTGGAGTCATGTCTGCGAGACCGCCGAACGCCAAGACGTCGGGGAAACCTTTGACGTGGAGATTGGCTCCCTTCACCAGCTCCAGATTGAGCTGTGTGCTACCGTCTTTCGCAACCGTCAAGGTGCTTGGGCCGTTGACAGCATAGACGGTTCCGCTTACGACGAAGCTGGAGTCTTGAAGTTGGTACTCTCCCGGAGCTACAGGTACCGAGAACGGCGTGGTGCCTGCCTTGGCTGGAACCTTTTGGGTGTAGATGAGCTCATCTGATGCCATGCGGAGCGACACATCCTGATCTGACGTGACACCATCTGATTGCATCACAATAGGCAGTTCAACAAAGCCTGTGGTATCCACGGGCGAAGCTGTAACGTCACTTTGGCCAAACGTGACGGTGAAAAGTTGGGCAGCGAGATCCAGACTCTTGGTGGAAAAGCCGTATTGAACATTATTTAGTGTAATGGCATGGATGGAAACTTGGACGTTTCCCGAGTCCGGAAGTCGCCGCAGTGACGTTGTCTCGTTGTCTTTGCTGTAAAAGTCCGTGAATTGGCTGCCGTCACGCGTCAGGTACACATGGACCATCTCAGACTCGAGAGACGGAATGTCTCCAATCGATACATCTATGGCGCCGTACGTTTGGACCGAGCCAAAAGTGACCTTGACAGCAACTTCTTGGTCAGCGTCGACGGGCAGAGACGAGGGCGAAACCTCAGACGTCGCGACAACGGTTTCGTCCGCAGTCGTGAGCTCTGAGCTCGACACAACGTATTTGCCGTATGGAATTTGAATCGACGTGGTTTTTCCGGGCAGTGCGGTAGCAGTGAAGTTTCGTGAGCCTTGTGCAAACGACAAGGTCACCTCTCGGGACTCGAGCGCCGGATTCGGGGCATCTGCCGTTGTAATCACCACAGTCCCGTTGACGTTGGGAACCGCGTCGGCGCCGAGCCTGACAGATTCCGTGTAGGGCTCAGGATGATCTCTCAGGTCGGCCTCGACGCCAATTGTTATTGTGTCGGACGCGTTGAACTTGTAGCTCTTTTCGAAGTTGAGTTTCGCCGTGACGAGACACGTCGACGCGTCAATTGGTTCATTGATGACCTCTGCCTTGACATCCTGCCAAGGACTTACAGACACGTTGAAGGCATCTTTGTCAACAGCGGCGGGAGACGTGAATGCGATGCCGAGGAACTTGTCAATGGCCACTTGACTACCATCACTGTACTTGATGCCCTTCACGATCATCGTGCCATACCATTCAGTTGGGTTTGGCCCAACCTCTACGGTGCGTGTGATGCTGGACATGGCTGCGATGGTGAAGGCGTTTGGGGAAAGAATTACGAGGGTAGTGCCACTGCGACTGTGAGCAGGAAAGAAACGGGAAAGGAGTCGTGTTGGTTTTCGAACCGAGGCGGACAAGAGAAGATGTCGTCGTCGTCGTTAAATATCCAACCAATCTCGGGGCACGTGACAGCCAGTCTTGAAGAATCAAGACTCAAGAGTCAAGAGTCGCTCCTCAAGAGTCATTCAAGTTTCAACCATGCATATCTCGAGGGGGGTATCAAGTTGCATCGTCACCACCATCACGCAGACCATTGTGCCAGTGCGTCGTCACACCAAGACATCTGTCTGCCGTCTGTCAAATGGACTTTTGTCTTCAACCGAGGCTTTTGAGACATGGATCATCGGGCACCCATTGCGCAAATACGAACCTCTCATCTGTGCGGGCGTACGGAATAGATGAGTCGACTACTGCTCACCTACCTGTCCTGGATTGTCCACTGCCGCATTATGACAAGTCTTGCATGCCGTCGTGGTAGGATGGGCTACACATGTGTCTGGTAGCATATTGGAGCCAAACGTCAAATCTTGCTTGTCTGTCCGTCTCTTGCTCTCCCTCTCGCACAGATACAAATTCATAACTTGGAAAGAACAATTCTGTACTTTATGACAGGTGGCCATTGATGTCGACAAGCATATCGACATCACGACACGGCAAAAAGCTCGACAATACAAAAGAGCATGTGCTACGAGGTGACGTGATGCACCCTAGACTCTCTACAGCTTGCCGTTGTGACATTGCAAGGCCCAATTGCAACATACGCTGAGCAACGTCATATTACTATCTATGCCGCTGTTGACGAATAAGGAAAATGGGCAGCAGAGACTTGGACTAATAGCTTCTCATCACCGACTTGTGGACATGTCTCAAGCAGGGTCGGGAGCCGACCAACCAATGACGAAAATTTCCGTTACCTTGTTTCACATACAATGTATCAGAAACCTGGGCAGTGCAAGCCTGAAAGGCTTCTATTTCCGGAATTGCAACAGAGTTGAGGTTGATGGCCGATGAACGCGTACGGGCATGTACCTTTTTTTCGACAAATATTGTTGAAAAGGAACATGGTATTTCGTACCATCACTTTATTTCCGTCGCTTTTCATCCCGAGAAGAGCCGAAGTATTCCGGCCTGACAAGCGTTGCATTGTATGGCCGGTCACAGCATATTGCTCTGCATATGACTCCTCTTCAACCTCGCCTGCATGTCCTGCTTCTTTTTCAGCTTGAAACCCCTCACACCAGCTGCGGGGTCTTTTCAGCTACACATTTATACATTCTACATGAGTCAGACGCCGCGGGGATGTCTTAGGTAGTATCCCGCAATGCTGCCTTTGGGCGGTGGCGGCATCTATACTGCCTGGCACGCAGACCTGGAGTTCAGATGTGTCACAGCACTTGAAGACTGTCCCTCCGGCATAGAATCCGCAACAAGGGCATTAAGCTATCGGTGATTGTGTAACCAATAGATTAGATGCTATCCTCGCCCACAGTCCGCCCTGCTTTGCAGAAGTTGAACATAGGCCGCAGCGCGCATCACTATGTCTAGAGGGAATCTGAAAGAAGTATATTCGATACAGGACTCGTCGTTGCCGACAATTGGCCTCTTCCTTGTTACACGCAATATATATATTTATAATGAAATCTCCTACTCGCACCAAATGTCAACCCTTACACCGCTCAAGTGTTGTAAAACTTGATAATCCAGGCCGGGCTGCTTCACGCATATAATAATGGCGTCAAATGTTTCCAAGGTTTTCTGGTTCCATTCAGCTTCACTCAGCCGTGTGACATGAGGCAGGTCCTCTTGTGAGACAAGAGGATCGGCAAAGTTCACTTCAACCTGTCCTTGCTCATGCAGCGCGTTCAAGAGCGCCACGCCGGGGGAATAACTCAACACTGACTGACCGGCCTTGAAGCCCACGCCCACAACAAGGACTCGACCTTTCTCTAAGCCATCCATGGTAGCTGAAAGCTTCAAATCCTCCACAGTTCGCCTGGCAATCTGTGCCGGGCGGGCGGCCATGGCCTCCGTGGCGGCCTGCAAGAGCGGAAAAGAGCTATTGGATAATAGATAGTAAGGGTTTACGGGGATGCAGTGACCACCGACGCCCACCGACGGTGAGAAGGGCGCATATCCAAAGGGTTTGGTGGCGGCGGCTCTTGAAACCTCATATGGATCAATGCCGTGCGACAGAGCGGCATCAGCCATCTCATTCACAAAGGCTATACACATCATCCGTTGGCAGTTCTCGTAGAGTTTAGTCATCTCCGCCACCTCGGGGGAAGAAACCGGGACCAGCCTGCTGAATACCTGTCCATATGCCTGCTCGATGGAGGCGAGCGAGCCCGGCACCGCGTCGTCAAGTCCAGATATAATTTTGGGAATGCTCGCGCACGGGGGATTCGTGCGGCCAGGGTCCACGCGCTCCGGAGACATGCCGGCATACAAGCCGTATGAGACGGCAATAGGGCCGAGGAGGCTTCTCGTCATGCCGATGGCTACAGAGCTCTCTAGGACAACAGTCGAGCCCTGTTGAGCAACTGTGGCCACGGTGTTGATGGCGTCCTTGATATGTGTTGTATTGATGGATGCGTCTGTGTTGACCAGAGTTGGCACGGATATCAGAAAGTGAGTAGCCTGCTTCATGTCCATCGGACACGTCGTGTACTTGACATTGGCGCCGCTGGACAGCTCACGTCTTGCGGAACGGAGCGTCGCAGACGAGATGTCGTAGGCAATGACCTTGAACTGGGTCGAAAAGGACTGCACAAGCCGCCTCCCGACGTAGCCGACTCCGACGACGGCCACGACAATCTCGGCTTCCCGAGGTCCCTTGGTGTATTGCTGTAGCCGCACGTCGGCGGCCTCGGAACAGCGAAGCAGAACCTCGGTGGATGGAGAGATTGGGATCGGCGCGGGCATTGTTTCTGATGTGAGTGTCTCGGACTATGTTCACTTTGGTCTGTCTCTTTTCGAAAGCGGCAGTCTTGTGTTCAAAATTCAAGTCAGCTTGCCGTGTCCACTGCCGGAGTAAAAGCCATAACCATAGAAATCTTACCAAAATTATATTTGACTGGTGAAATGTGAAGAAATTTCTCTTGCCGAGGTGACACAACACCAAATGTAGAGTTATTAGATTGCTTGGCGAATGTTTTGATCGCGATATAGCACAAAAAGGGAGCCTTGACCGCATCTTGGACTTTATAGATTGGCGACGCCCTCAACGTTTGACGAAACCGAACTATTGGACAATAGCGAAATACTCCAAAGCTCGCCCGAATCCTTCTCAGGCGGGTCATATCTGACGATGTCATTAAAACGCGATGCTAGGGTCATGGTGGCTAGATCTCCGGTCGCGATCAAGCCCAGTCGCCCATGTTGCCTGGATAAGGTAACCGCATCGCCCAGGCTTGGAATGAGGGAGAGCGGATTCGGATAACCTGTGCAAGAAGCGTTCTTGGCAATGCTCTGCGTTAAGCGCAACCGACCAAAGTCGTACGACTAATATAACCTCAGTTGGAGCGGCGTTACGAGTCAGGCCCGAAACGAGATTATCTTTCGCGCCCAGCCGTCGCGGTAAAGCCGTGCCAGTAAAGCCGGTCCCAACGCAAACGGTCTCCAAGGGAGGGCCGGCGCAGAAAATTTCCACGAAGGGAGTAGAGTATGCAAGGGAGATAGGACCCTGATGTGGAAACAAGTCGCCCGGACATGGTCATACGACATATGTGCCTGAGATATAGCGTATAAGTAATGTTATATATGTCGCCGACTACCTATCATTCGCCCTCATACGAAGCCAGCTACGGAGTAGCCATAGTTCAAATATCTGACTCAAAATGAGGCACTCCATGTCATTGCTAGATCGCTGCTAGACCTTTTCTTCCTTGTTTCTCTTTGATGGTTTCCACCCGCTAGCTTCAGAATAGGCGCGATATAGTGCCTCAATGACTTTGCCATGTCTTCAGCAACTCACAAGTTAGGCAGAGAAAGCTGTGAGCAAGATGAGTCTGAGTTGCGCGTGACACGGCCGCAAGCTGCCTTCTTGCCGTGTGACAAGTCGCAAGATTCGCCGCTCCTTTCCGACAGAGACTCAACTCACGGCCCTGATGGCGGTGGTGTTATTGCCTCGAGTGAGATTTTTGCTGCCAAACACGACCATGATGCGCGTCCTTCTTCCGAGGACAGAGTCGAGCACGTCCAGCCATGGCCGCAGAAGCCCAACCAGGCGAAATACACCGACTTTAAACCCTTCCACGCCACGTCGTCAAATTCGCCGCGCTACATGGTCAGGAATATCATGAATAAGACGAAGAAACTGCCCTTTGAGCAACCAACCCTCGATGATGCCGAATTCGAGACACTGACAAGGCTCATGGACGACAAGCAGAAACACACGGTACCTAGTTTCAAAGCAAAGATGGCCTTCAGGGCATTCTACTTCTTACTCCTCGCCGCGCTCATCTACTTCGTCCTCGTCGGCTGGCCCCTCTGGCCCGGCACCGTGGTCTGGTTCTGGCGCTGGTACCAAGGCCAGGTAGGCCAGCATCACATCGCGGGCCTTGTCGCCTTTCTCGCCGCGGGCATGATTCGCAATATCCTGCCCCAGTTCCTCTGCACCTTCCAAGTCTCCCGGCAAGAACCAAGGGAACCCGAGGAGTCGGCCGTGTCCCAGTGCTGCGTCATCATCCCATGCTACAAGGCGGCCGAGACGCTGCGCACCACGCTGCCCGCGTGCCTGGCGATATTCGGCCCCAAGCAAATCTTCGTCGTGGCTAACGGCAACTCGACCGTGCCGCTGGACAACACGGCCGATATATGCGACGAGTTTGGCGTGCGGCACTTTTGGCTCCCCGTCGGCAGCAAGATCACCGCCGAGTTCGTCGGCGTGACGCTGGGCAAGGAGTTCCAGTACTGCCTGCTGATAGACGACGACGTCCTGCTGCCCCCCAGCCTGCCCATACTGACAAAGTGGTTCAATGGCCCTGGCCACGAGAACGTCGCGTGTGTTGGGTATACCATTAAGAGCGTGGGGTCGAACTCGTCTCGCGGGACAATCGTCCAGCAGGCCCAGGATCTCGAGTACAAGATCGCGGGATTGACCAAGGTGTTTCAGTCCAAGTACGGCAGCACCGTCTTCCCGCATGGTGCTATTGCGCTGTGGCGCCGCGATGTTCTGGAGAAGATTCTGCGCGCTCATCCGGGGTACAGCATTTCCGAGGACTGGTGGCTCGGCCATACGGCGAGAGCTGCCGGCTACCGCATCCTCATGAGCTCGTCGGTCTTTGTCGAAACCGAGACCCCGCCGCGTCTTTTCCCGGACTGGTTCTTCTGTCGCGCGAAAGACTCGAGGGGTGGCTACGGCGAAATGTCCGTCGTCCAGCAGCGCTTCTTCCGCTGGAGCTTCTTCTACCTCTTTCGCATCTGGGCAAACACCTTGTATCTGATATTCAGCTGGCGCCTGGGCTGGCGAGTCCTCATTACAAAGATGTACGTCTTGGGAGAAATCTACGACACGCTCATCAAACTGTTCACCCCGGTCTTCCTCCCCGTCGCCATGATAGCCCACTGGCGCTTGACGCTGATTTTGTGGTTCGGAACCATCTTGGCGAATTTTGTGCTCTCCATTTGGTTCAACGTGATTCATCTGAGTCTTCTAAGACGAGGGAGTTCCAAGAATGAGCGAGTCTCCTGGCTGGCGTTTCCGGCCTTTTTCGTCATCAAGTTTGTCATGACGTTTGTGACGGTGGCGAGCGTATATTGGACCATTTACCAGTACGCAGTCTTCTTTGCACGGCAGCACCTCCGGGTGACGGAGAGCGTGCCGGCTTGGAAAGTAATCAGGGAGAAGAAGGAGAACATGGCGGAAAAAGAACCCGAGTTGAGCGGCGTTGCGTCCAAAGTCTCCGAGACAAACAGCTGGAGAAAATAATAACAGAGTCATGGGACTGAAAATTGACAGAGAGGGTCAAAATGTTTGAATTTCTGATGCACATGGCCTCGACGCCTAGCTTGTTTTCATTGTAGTTGATATTGGGACTGGAGTTGTCATTCTTGGAGGTGACGCAATGTATTGATTTTCCACATTAATTTCTTTTCTTCTGGCATCTTGTACTTTTGAAAAAATATAATTTTTATTCATAACATAATCAATAGACATGGTTTTTTGTCGGCAAGTCTTCCATGGCTCTACATACCCTCTTTACATGTTGTCTCACCTGGCATTCAGCGACCTCTTGACATTATTCTGATATAATACAAGACACTATGTTTTACTTTTTGAAGAAATATCTTGCAAGTGCTCACGGGGCAGATGTGTTGCCGTCCAGCGCCTGTGACCTGTCATCTGCGTACGACCAGACTGTCAGTCGTATGTTGATTCACAATTCAATCTCATGAATCTTCACGATTTGCTAATCAAAATGGGTACAGGTTCTTATCGCAATATGAAGCCGCTCGCGGCCGACTAGAATATAGCATTCTCCAGGCCCACAAGTATTCAAGTATTCGCCGCATGTCGTTTAAGCTGCAAGCATCTCTAATAGGTTGATATTAAATGCCAGAAGGGAACCTCGCCCAGCCCCAGCAGCACGTCCTCATAGACGGCCTGCCCAATGCGTCCGTGTAAGCCTGGCAGAACGGCCCGCGGAGATGGTCCATCTCAACAACCGAGCAGACGCCGCCGAAGCGAAGCGGGCGACGAGGGCCTGTTCTCTCTTTTCGGACGATAGTAGCTGCCCCTGCCCGCGGAAGAGTGGAATACAATCTGTCGAAATGGTGTTCGAATACTTTCCGCTCCCTAGATACTGGTTGTCAATAATAACAACGCGCTCTATTACCGAGCCATTACGCCCCCATAGATTCCATTGAAACCGGCGAGGCAGACGGTCTAGACCCCAGATTCGGAATCCTTTACAAACCTCCCCAGGACTCTCCCTCCACAACTGATACCGTTTTAGTAACAAGTGGCCCCGTTCAAAACCGCCCTGTTCCCATGACTAAGTTGTGTTGCATCTCTGTGGAGAAATTCAAACAATGTCACCGAGTAGCTATGGATCGCCTTGAACAGTGGATAAGCCGTTGGCATTCAATCTATGTACCCTGGAATTCGAATGTTTTTATACATTTGCAGACAGACGCTCGAGTCATTCTATCAGAGACTCATTTCTGCCGACAATGTCGTGCTCAGCAGGGCCTGTGGCGTCAGACTTTTCGGCGATACTACGCAGTAGTCGTTTTTCAGGGACGCAAAATCAAATTCAGAAATGGGCGTCCCCCTGCGTCAAAATGCCACCACAGAAACTGTCAATGTCATTTCAGAGTCAATCTACCTCATACTACCGTACGCCTATACCTGCTCTACAATAGGAACAGGCATGGTCAAGATTCCTAGTCGGCTTGAAAGCCAAAACAGGCAATTGAATTTGCTGCCAGGCACCGCTACTCGCTTAAGAATTGTACATAAAGCAGTATAATGTAAAGCATATCGGATCTTGAGTGCCTTTGTTTAAAGAGGAAAGTAGATGCTGAAATTTGGACCTGGACTAGGCTTGGCGGCCACTGCTGGATTACCTTGTGATTGAGGAATGTTTCCAAAAATTAAAGCTCTGCTAACATCTACTATCGTCTGAGTCATCTAAATAATTGCACATGCAATATGAAGCTTAGTTGGGGTGGGCTAGAGTTGTGACAAGGGCTCAATAGAGGGCTTGGAGCAATTTAGCTCAATTCAGCTAAGAAAAATTTTTGGAATCAAAGGTCCTTGGTTTTTCTCAAGGCCTCATTAACCAAAGACCTCTTTAAATACAAGAAGTCGGCGAGGGACTTTGCCCTAGGTCTCGTGACCGTAGCCCCTGTGTAACAGGGCGATTTCCGTGTAACAATAGTAGAATGCAGCCATGTTGCTCTCTATTCGCAGAATCTCGACCAATTCTCTTTAAACATTCAAGGCCGAGAGAATGTGCTTCTGGAAGATCTTGGAATACGTAGCAGTAGGATTCTGTGCAGTGCCTCGCTTGCGTATGCATGGTTTAACCCGCCATTTACGCAACTTGGGCGAAGTGAGATTCTACAGTCTGACAAAATCTGTTTCCCCATTATGAAATACACATCGATATGCAATAGCATGTTAGCATGGTTCGCAATAGCCAGGTACCTAATCGTATTGTATGTGAGTGATGAAACTTGAAACCGTGACGTGCAACATGTATGAGTGAGGGAAGTGCAGAGACGACATAGGCATCACCCAAATACACAAAACTGTTGAGCAGCGACTCCGTATACATTGAAATCTAACCGGCTACTTAAAGGAAAACACCCTTGCCGTGTCCCATTCACAATTTCAAGAAAAAAATTGGATAGCGCTCCTAGGTGAACTTGGCGGATTGCGTCAGTACTTCTTGGGCGACGGCCAATTCCTGTTATCAAGCCTCTTGACGACGTCCCTCAATCTCCTTCAACTGCACCCACAATCCCCCCTTTGGCTTCGTCGTGATTTCCGTGGCAAAGTCCGGCTCTTCTCCCCTAGCCAGCGGTCCTCCATCCTCGAATCTCGTCTCAAATCTGCTCACCCAAGCCGCAACCAGGCACGCAAACTCAGCCTGTGCAAACTTCTGGCCAATACAGCTTCGCGGACCGTGTAAAAATGTCATGAAAGAGTAGTTAGAGTCTGCGGATCCGCGGTTGTTTGTATGGCCATTGGCGTCGAGCCAGCGCTCTGGCTTGAATTTTTTGGCATCTGCGCCCCAGAGCTGCTCGGATAAGTTCACGGCCCATGGACAAAGAATCACAGGAGTGCCCTTTGGGATGAATTGGCCCAGAATGCTGGTGTCCCTTGCGGCGACACGCAGGGTCAGGGGAACGGGAGACCACACTCGGAGAACTTCGTTGCAGAAGGCTTGCAAGTAAGAACAGTTGTCGATTTCCGCGGCAGTGATGTCGTCTTCAAGCGAAGGGAGTTTGGAGCGAACTTGGTCGCGTAATTTCTGTTGGGTTTCGGGGCGTTTGCAGAGCTCGTACACGGCCCAGGCCATTGCCGTGGCAGTCGTTTCGTGTCCCGCGAGGAGAAAAGTCATCATTTGGTTAACGAGATCTTCGTCACTAAAGCCGCCGGATTCGAGTGCAACAGAAAGAATATCAATGTCTGCCTTGGAGCGCTGCTTCTCAACATGGAGTCTCTCTCGTTTTCCCGCAATGAGATCCCGGCAAACTTGCTTGATGTAAGAGCTGGCTGCAGTCATGTCAGCATTGCGCTTCAACGGCAGGAGGCGGAGGAGTCGGATGGGAACGAATATTGCCAGAAGTCTAATGAACCTTCCCACTCTGCCTGTGTTGAAGATGGTCTTGTAGGTTTGGTTGAGCTTATTTGCAGGGTCGTTGAGGGAGTTGAAGTCGCGGTCCATGCCTGACACGCCAATGATGTCGAGCGTGGCACGAGAGCTCCAGTCGTATACCTCAATGGCCCCAGGCGCATGTTGAACGGCATCGGCATCGGCATTGATCTTCTCCTCTGCCGCTAGGCCGGCGTCGGGCTTTGCCTTGATGGTAGCAGACAGAACCTGAGCCATCTCCCGCGACTTGCTCCAAAAGGTTGGGTACAGGTCCTTGATGTGACGGAAAGCAAAGGCAGGCATCAGGTTTTTCCGTTGTCGCTTGTGTTCATCACCCTCGGCAAACAATATGCCCATGCCTAGGAATCTTCCTAGAGATTGGCTAAACTGCTTCGGCTTCTCAAAGTCGTAGTTTTTGGTCACAAGAACCTCGGCGAGGCCTTTGGGATTGGTCACGAGTACTCGCGGCTCGAACCAGGTAGAGTATGTGATTAAACCAGTGTTTGGCACATTGTCAATCCAATCACGCAAGGGACTGCCTGTAGGCTCCTTGAGGATCCTCATGGTTTGGTCCCAGAGCCAGTGTCCACCGCCAGGGCGCGGCAAGTGCCGAAGAGGACTGAAGAAGCGTGGGTAGACAATGATGCGCCATGTCTGGGCGAGGGTGAAGTAAATGAAGAGGAAAGCGAATGCAGTTGTCCAAAAGCCGAGTGAGTAGTGTGGTGCTTTCTTTTGAAGGACGTAGCTGGCTCCTCCAGCCACGACCAGACCTTGGAGCAGCATACCAGCTGGAATTGAGATGTGTTCAAAGATGCTTGGACAGAGTTAACCAAGAGTTGGTGGCATCTCTGTGAAGCATTCAGTACATGTCTGAAGTTGACGCATGCTCTTGTTGAAGAAGAAGAGGACGTCGGCGCAGGCTGAGAGATGTACGTCATGCCGCTGCGACAGGGAGAGGGAGCCTGAAACGGCATCGTCCTCATCACGCAGTCGGACTTGGTTAGCGGCGGACTTGGCTGTTCTCCGCGGCCGCCACGTTCAATGTTGCGGAGGAATACCATCGGCGGGGCACAACGGGATAATCTTGTCCGCGGCCGGACAGTTTCAAAGCCAGGGGCCGAGATGCGAATGATGCACGCGACCGTGGGCGAAGTGATTGGCTGAAAAAAATGGACTTGCGACGACATGCCGAAGTTGGTGTCTATAAAATCGGAGGCATGTTTTTGCCGACAAATGCTATTCCAGCAACAGACGAAAAAGCAAATAGTCGCATCTGGAAAGTCGAACATTAGTGACGATGCATCGGAGCCTTTGAAGGGGAAAGCAAGACCAACATTGAATTGAACATCGAAGAGATCCACAGCAGGCTGCAGCACGGAGAAAAGCCGGGCGAATGATACCAACCAGCAGAGAAGAGCGGTGAACAGAGCCAATGACAAGGTAAAGGAGTGTCACAAGTGTCATTGTCGAGCGTCAAGGATTGAAGTTTCGATGCTCGTAGGCGGCGTAGATGGTTCTGTTCTTGGCTGTCTTGATGTGATTGGCCGATGGACTTGACGCTTCTTGGGCTGAGTCAGCTTCAGTGGCTGCTTGCTGTGGCTGC